AAAAAAAAATACCGAGAACTTGGAATACGCACAGATAACAACCTAAATATATTAGTAAAGTACATTTTTTTTGTTTATTGTCGATAAGAATGTATTACATGACTTTAAAGATGATAATTTGTTTTGATCAAATTTTAATAAATTAATGGAATAATGATTGATTTATTTTGAAAATCAATCCCAAAATGCAAGAAATCATTATACGTGCTTATTTTGATACATTAATATATATTATTTATGCAATTATTATGATGGTAACATTTTTAGTAATGTAAACAATTTGTATTCATCAACTTAAAAAGTCGGTGATTTTTATGTGTAATGACAAAATTCTAAAAATTACCAACAAATAATTACAAGTACATGATAAGGAAGAGATTGTTGGGACGGAAGAGTTTTTTATTTGTTATTTTTTTGGTTATTTAAGTCTGCTTAAGACTATTGTTGGGATGGATGGGTTGTCTTTGAGCCTTCTTGCAATCTTTTTCTGTTTAAGTTTTCTTGCGAATGCAACCACTCTACCTTTTCCCTTTTAATTTTCAATTTCCTTTCATGGAAGTTCCAATCCTATTTTTTTTTCCCAACAACAATGATAATAATTTGTATAACCTATTCTAACATAATCTAAAAAAATAGAGAAGGGGAAGCCACATATATTAGCTGGTGGGAGCCAAGGTTCGAACCGACCCTTGACCTCCCACCTCCATCAAGACTTAAAAGGTTTTGGTGACCAACATTCCAAGAGACTGTTGGCATAGCAGTCCCAGTCCTAAATCTTTCCAATTCTCTCATTACACGAATTTATAGGAGCCAACTCGTCTCTCTTCCTCCCTCGTCATGCAACATTGCAATTCCTTTATTTTTTTCTCCTAGGAGTTTTTTTTCTTTTTTTTTCTTTTCCTATGTTGAATAGATAAGACAGGCATTGTATATCGAGTGGTGTATGTTATCTTATGTCACTTCTACATATTTATATTAGATTACGAATCACTAAAACATTAGATTAAAAAAAAGAATCACTAGAACATACGAACTACATGTAAAAAGAAACACTAATAATAAAATTCTTCAAAATGTACATATTATTTTATGTATTAAAAAGATACACTAATAATAAAATTCTTATGCATGTACAAAGAAAATACAAAGAGAATATTCATGAAAAATGGGAAAATTTTCATAAAAAAGTAGCAATCCAAATAAAGTATAAACTTCCAAAATTAGATCCTTACATATTACTGACAATGATCTTTTTAAACAGGTAATATTAGTACAATTAGCAAGGGCTAATTTTCTAGTTTGTTTAAAATTTTAACTCCTTTTTCAAATATTACAATTTAAATGGTTAAATAGTTTTTCTTCAAGGTAGCAAGTCGAGTCTTTTCAATTCAAGGATTTTGGGTGGTGAAAAATACAATCATACGAATATGGCTAAGCTTAGGCTCTCTCTCTTTTTTTCTTTTTTTCTTTTTTTGAGGGTGAGGGGGGTTTGGATTAACTTTGTTCTATGGATTTAGAAGTAAATTTTTTGAAAGGAGAGGTCCAAAATTTCTTGTAATCTTAATTAATCAACCTAAAATTTTAGTTCGATGAAGGAAAATGGATGTATGTATTATACTTTTGGTCTCAGAAGCTGTTTTCAACCATTTCGACGTTTTCATGAGTATAATTTCTTGTTTGTGTTTGTTTTGATCGCGATTAATTGTACCGACAAATGCTTTTTTTGTTTGGGCGATTTGATGAATGCAATTTCTTTTTGTCAGTGATGTGTAAAGATGTGTATAAACCATTGTTGGATTCAAGTAAAATGGCAAATCGACATGGACCCAGTTCTTGAATAGATCATCAAGAATATACAACCAAATCAAGTGAGACAACCCAAAGTATCCAGCTCTCAGATTTGAAGCAAACTCGACTCTTATTTGTTCTTTTCGTAAAACAAAGGGTAGCTGGAGTAGCCCAATATTTACTGTACAATCACGCTGAGAGGCTTAGATACAATACATATTAGATCTAAAATTTTTAAATTTGATCGTTAGATTTGAGATTTCCCGTGTCTATCTCATCATCGGCACTCACTTTAATATTTTAACAAATTTAGGTTCGACTCAAATAGTCAGTACTACTTTTGAATTTAGAATTATGAGTTTCGGATTGATAAATTTGAATCTCATATTTAATTTATAAAATATTTAAATTATGAACTTAATTTGAATTTAATTTAAACTTATTTATTGAGATATGAGTTTTTTGGATATTTATTTAAAATTTTACTGTATAATTTATAAAAAAACTTTTTGATGTATGTAAAAATCTTCCTTTTTAACAAAAACAAAAAAAATTCCTTTTTTCAATTTCCTTGTTCTTTCTTTTTCCTTTCCTCTCATCCACTTCTCCTCGTCCTCCACCCAATTTTGTGGCTCCAAATTCATCCTGGGTCACAAGTCTTGCAAAAATATCTGTCCTCCTTTTATTGCTCAATTATTTTCACAAACATTTGGACCACTTTTTCCTTCTTTACCATTCCAACGACTTCTTTTGTATGCTACTTTGACTTTTCAATGTGAGCAGAGATTCAACCTTTTTTTTTTTTTTTAAATGTTCAGACTCCGGAGCCTCGTAAGGAGAAAGGAAAAATGAAGAGAGCTTGAAATTCAAATTAGAGTGCCGACAATCACCTAAGTGATATTTTGCTACACGCTATATAAAATAATTTTGCAAGAACTCCAAGTCAATCAAGCACATATTATGACTGGTATTAAACTGTGTTTAAATAGGAAATATTATTTGAAATAGTTATTATAATATTTTTTATGATTTAATATATATAAGATAAAAAGACGTATTAAAACATGCATTTGTGATACAATTAAATAAATTTTTGGCAAAAAATTACAATCCAAACACAAAAGGCCTGGTTGATAAATAAATTTTTGGCCAAGTTTGTTTTCTACAAGTTTTTTAACAACTTTAATTACAGTAATTTTTAAAAAAATTTCAAAATTTTTATACTATACACTTCAAAATATTAAAAATTTTATATATTTACAATTTTTTTTTACAATTTTTACAATAAAATACAGTAAAATTTTAGATAAACATCAAAGAAACTCATTTACCAAAATGGGCCATAATTTGCTTTTTAAATTTCAAAGCTGGCAGTCCAAAACGACTCAGTTTGGTTCCATTGGATGTGATGCTGTGACTGTCTAGGTGTAGTCAAAAGACGTAAAGAGCGGTCCGAGATTGGGCCTGTTTTATTTGTCCCAATCTGGATTGGGAGTTGGATCCCCAAACTTGGCCATTCAATACATGGTCTGATGCTCTGAATTGCCCAGATCTAGGTCACAAATTGTCTGCGTGCAGCATAAATCTTTTTTATTATTTATTTTAGCACATGTTTTTTAAGGTTAATTACACTAATCCTTCTTGAACTTTTGACTGAGTATCATTTTGTGCCCCTCAGCTTTTTAAATAGTACTTACGACTCGTTTAGATTGCTATTTTCTGGAGTTTTTATAGAATAATGTATCGTAATAATTTGATGCACGTGAGGTGAAAACGTGATTAGAAAATGCATTCACGTAGAACGTAAAAAATCCAAATGAGTTGACTCTATTTTGCAGGAACTTATGAACACAATATCACAAGTATAGGAGACGTGCTAAAACTGTCTATTTAAAATGATCATAATAGAATCTTGAAATAAAAACGTGAAAATGTCAATCACTGCAGTAAGATATAACCGGGAGTAAAAGTACAAATCGCTGCCCTCTCAAGCTCAGAGGTAAACATTCAGAAATCATTAACCAAGCTATAGGACAGAAACATGACTGCAAAATAAGGAAATAAATCAATACATACTTAATAGTAATTACTAATATGTTATTACTTTCCAAGTTGATACCATAGAACTGCAAAGAGTATTATTCCAAATAATTATTTGAAATAATTACTGTAGCACTTTTTGTGACGTGATGTATATGAAATAAAAAGGTGGTTAGAAATATAAAAAGGTGAATTGGAAAATATGTTTATAATGCAAGTAAAAAAAATTTTGAAAAAATTTGCTATCCAAACATAGCAGTATGAAAAATTTTGGAAAAATGTTTTGGAAAAATTATGGTTCAGAATCGAAATTGAAATAGATTCTTTGACGCAGTATTTGAGCCAATAAAGATTAAGTGTAAATGCCGTCTGATGATGCCGAACGGAGCTACATGTAAGAAGAGGGCAAATTTCTTAAAATAATATGAAAAAAATAAATCATCCTGCAAATGTGACATTTTTGGGTGAATTTCTAGATTTAACGTTGTTGCACAATGATAATAATAATTTTTTATAAGTAACAATAGTTAAAATAATAATTTTTTAGTCGATGCAATTAGCTAATAATAACGATGATTTTAGTCGATGTAACTAGCTAATAATAACAATGGTTAACTATAACTGTATTAAAGAAAAATTACTAACGCATGTACATTTTTTTTTCATGAACAATTTATATAAAATTTAATTCTATGAGTCTGGTGCTGCACAAAGAGAAATTTTATTTTAAATATAAAATATTTTATTTTAAAAATAAACTATGGATGTTTTTTTTTTAACTCTATTGTATTTGCAATTTAGCGCCGGTTGCTACTTTATAGAAAACAAAAAAGATTTTGCTCGGTTACGTTAAATCTAGAAACTCCTCTGAAATTACAACATTTGACGGATGATTTTTTTAATATTATTTTAAGAAATTTGCCAATAAAGTTATTCCATTCAGTAAATGACATATCATTACTATACTATACTAAAAGCGTCAGTTGGCTTTGCTACAGTGAAAATTGGCCGGTTATAGCGTGATTTGTGTGAGCTTGAGGGGCAGTTTGGTCTTTTGCCATTCAATGGCAATGGTTCTACTGGAATTTCACGCGGACAATTTTGGCAGTCAGCAATTTTTACTCACAATTTTGGCAGTCAGCAATTCCTGCTGGTTAGTGGGCGGTCAGCAATTTCCTTTGTTTTCTCTTAGCTTTCTTCTTCTTCTTAGCTTCCATTCTTCTTCTTAGTTTTATTTGGCAGCTTCGGAACCGATTACCTTCTTTGCATTCTCCGTTATCCTCTCTGTGCGCCCGCCCCTTGCTTTCACCATCCTCTCTGTCCTTCTGTCCTCTTAATGAGTTTATCCCTTTGAGAAATTTTCCTCTTCCCTTTCACCCTCCTAATCCAACAAAAATTCTATATCCAAACCGCTTCTCATGGAATCTATTATAGCAAAATTCATAATGCAGGCTATAGTGTTATTTTTGTTGTGGTTCATGAATTAGGCATGGAGGTTATAGACCCATTCCATGGCAGGGCAACTCGGATGGCAGATCTGAGGTTGGAACAAATTTAATAGTTTCCCTCACTTGCATGCAACTAGGTTGCGGCCATGGTACCAATCCTCCCTCTTGGCATTGAATACTGAGCCTTTTCACGCATTATTTTGCTAATTTCCCAACTTTATTTTGGTATGTTGATAAAGTTTAAAATTCAAAGCAAGGTGTGGTGTAATTGTATGATTTTTCAATTATTAAATTCACTCTGTTTTTTAATATAAATGATAGGATTGTAAAATTATTGGTGACTATCAGTTCATCATGACGGCTTTTGTGAGAGTTGTGCTTCCAAGATCCATGCATGAGTAGAACAATTAGTTAAACGGTCATATGATTTCATTAGAGTCGACTGCTATACATTTGATGCAATCCTCATCTATGAAAATTGAGTGAACTTATACCAGTCAAGTTCAGTACCAACATGAGCTCAGTCGCAGGTTCATAATTGTTTTAAATTACAGCAATTGCGGAGTTATTAGGCATATTTTGACTTTCCTGTTGTTATAATGTTACTGGAGTTTTTCAAGTTAGTTGATCATTGAACTTCAACAATGATAAGCTATCACTTAGGATAGCTCTGCGTTCTCTTTTCCTCTTCTGTCTCTTATGGTATTAAGAGTTGAAAAGGCATGGACATTGTATAAGTTGAGAGCTTTCATATCTGAATAAAAACCAAAGTAGAAAAAACATGGCCTTTGCATTCAGGAAAGCATTTGTGCTAGCAAGATTGGAAAGTACATAGCAATATCCATCTGCTATTCTATATTTTATGATTGCCCAGCTTTATTATGATACGCCCTCGATATTGTTGAAGAAATATGATATATTCAGTTCAAGCTATTGCAAATTTGGAAAAAAAAATCATTAAACCAACTAAGTTTGCATATTATTTTTAGCTTTTAGCATAGTAGTTAGCTTAGAAGAGAAAAGAAGATGAACTTTTGATCTTGTTTGGATTTAAGAAAGAAGTCAAAGGATTTAGGACATTAGAGATGATTCAATGCTCTACAACCAGTGTTTCAAATACAAACTGGGCCTTTTTGAGAACTTATATAACTGCATAGTAGGTTTTCTCTTACTTTCTTTATTCAGGTTGTATGGAGAGATTTCCTATAGTTTTTTTCTCAAAATGTTTTGGGAAATTTAGAAAAGAATGTTATTGAAATAGAAGAATTTTACATTGTTTTGCTGGAAGTTTTGTTACTTCCTCTTTTTCTGTGGTGGATTCTAATTAGTAGCTAAAAGATGATGTGTTGAATTGGAATTTAATATAGTCATGATTAGAGGATAAGACACTTTCAAATGTAATTTACTGGTCAAAAGAAAAATTTTGGAGATGGGATTTGCTGTGTGAGATTCAAGCTCTTGATTGCCTTTGTGCAGCAATTGCAAATATGATATATTGAAGGGACTAAACACGTTGCAGGCCTTCCCTACTCACATTGCAGAGAAAAGATCATACTTGTAGACAAGGAGAATGATCCTTTATCTTGCTGTAAAACATGCTTCAATTGTTTTGATATTTGGAAATGCAATGACAGTTTCTTGCTTTCACAGTTTTTTTTTTTTTGGGAACAATTTTGCTCTTATGAGCTGCACATGGATCGACTAACTCTACAAGGAAGTTTGTTCCTTGCTTATGATTAAGTATATGTGATTACAATACTACTGCAACTTTTATGCAGAAATGAAAACATTTCATATTTTACGAAGGCTGTCACACAGTATCCTTTACCAGATCTTGTAAGCTCGGTTCCAACTATTGAGCTTCAGTGAAATTCACTTCTGTCCGCGTGGGGCTCTTGGATGGAACCTTGCACCAATTACAGCCACACAAATAGAGTTCAAGGGAACCTTGCACTCTGCTACAAGCGGCTGCCCAGTTGTTTTTTGAATTCTTAGAATGGTTAGAGGGTCCTTTTAGTTTTGCCTAATTTTAAGCATTCCTTACTGATTAATGCTATATTAAGATGTTAGATAACCTGATTTCAAGGTCATGTTTATCTGTGTAATTAGGAAAAAACACACACTCACACGCATGACTACTATATCTCCTGAAGATGCATGCTATAGTATTGTAGTTCCTTTGTAATTTATTTGTTCTTTGTACCTTTTTTGTTTGAGTCATTGTTGCCCCTTGTGATCCGGAGAGGTGGGCCACCTTAGCTATTTATGAGTATTAGTTTAGCCTTAGGTGTTTGCCATATTTTCCAATCATGCCATTTAATTTTCCCTTCATTCAACATGTATGTTATATTTGCTTGGTTGTTTTGCAATTTTGTTATTTTTTAACCCTAATTTTTGTTGACTTATTGTTCTCTTTTGTGGACAGCAATTCCTCTCGTTCAGTTCTTGGTTCTGTTCTTAGTTTTCAGCAAGTATAGAGGGATCCCCGTGTAAACATTTTTTTTTTTTTTTTGCAAAAGGACAAACTTTCTTCATAAAAAAATTATGCAATTTAAGAAATGGATTATAATTTTTGAACTTTTACAATAGTCCCAATTTTTTCTTTCAAGTATGAAAAAATGATTCTAGAAATACATATTTTCTAATTTTAAACACGAGTTTGTCACCCCATTTCTAAAATAAATCCATCCTTTATTTCTTAGCATTTTATTTCAATCTATCCTTAAACACAAGTCGATTTGGAATTCACCATTTAAAGATTCCAACTATCTCTTAGTTTTAAATACCACTTTTATTAAAAAAGAAAAAGAAACAGAGAAACTCACCTATTTTAGCACATGATTTAAGAATACAAAATAACCTATAATTTTGCAGCTTATGATACAGATTACAACAAAAAAAAATCATCAACCAAGTTACCGAAAGAATCATCAAATGAGTAAGAATTATAGATCCAAAGAACCTAGAAAATAGAAATGAAAAATTTTTAACTCAAGAAATCGTTGGATATTGTATATATCTAAGCCATTATCTTAGTGAAAATTCAAAGAGATTCTTCCATGCTTGTCGTACTCACCACATAAAGTGCTGCCTCTTATACAAATTATCAAATCCAAAATCATCAAAATCTACAAAAATAAACAAAGAATAGACAACCAAAAAAGGGGAAGAAAGAAAGAAAAATAAGAAAATATGTATATTTACCCCTGCAAGTTGAAGTAGTTCAATATTGAGAGTCCAAGACTCATTTTCAATAGATGATGTCTTCTCTAAAGAAACCATTGTTGCTCCCTTCATTCTTGAATACTTTTAATCTATCAATCAAACAATCATCTGAATTGCAACAAACAAAAAAGGTTCCAAAATGAAATCTTGATTAGGAGAAATGATAGTATATATAAACCGAGCTCATGGTGGGATAGAGTTGAATTAAAAATTATATGTCATGCATCCAGACCTATTAATATAAAAGAAAAAAGCCATTGAATATACAAAAAAATTTAATTTAATTTTACATTGGTCTAAAAATATTTTTAAATATGTTTGAAAGCTCATTCAAGTATAGCAAACAATACAAAATGATAAATCCATTTTATAATGTTAGGCATTATTTAGTGATTAATGCTACATTAAAAAAGTTAGATAACCATGCCTTATAATTCTACCTAATTTTAGTCATTACTTACTGATTAATGCTACATTAAGAATGTTAGATAACCTAATTTCAAGGTCTTATTTATCAGTGCAATTAAGAAAAAATACACACTCACACACATGACGACTGTTAGATCGTTGATAATTTATTGCAGATATGAAATACTAATATATCGTATCGATATCTCATATTAAGTCAATTAGTAGTCCAAGTCCAGTAGGTACAAAAATCTCTTCAATTTCATAAATAAATTGAGTAAACGATTAACAATAATAACCAATTTACCTAAAGTTAAATTCCTCATAGTTACTAGCACCCATCATATATTTAATATATATAACTATTTTATATTAATTCACTTGTCTTCATTTTAACTTGTTCAACACAAACTCAAGGCATCCTCATGCATCGCGTGAGGCTGAAAAAACTAGTAAGCATGTAAATGCGCCAACATTTCACATCTAACTTCACAATGCTCCGTTTATTTGGGCTGAAAGAGAAGCAGGATGCAAGTTCATCCTCTAATATCCACTGATTTTCGCAGGGAAATCATGGGAAATTCCAAGTTGTGCCATAGGCTTAGCTCAGTGATCATTCTCAGGAGAATTCAATCTCCCAAAAGCTAACTGTAATCTGATTGTGAGTTGCCTTCCCAGTGAATGAAATTTGATACACCTGAGAGTATCCTACATAAACCAGAAGCCCTACAACGGCCGCAGCAGGTACCTCATCCAAGAAAGTGCAATATGATTCCCAAACAAAGAGATGTTACTTGTTACACGCTAAGGATCATAAATACTTCTTTGTAGCTTCAAAGAATTTAAATAGTGATTCTATCACATATATATCTCATGAAATCCAACCAGAAAAATGCATTAGCAGTTATCTCAAACAAGAGAATTTATTATGACGCAAGCAGGACGTGAAGGAAAAGTAATTACCAAAATAAGAATCACTAAAACTTGTTATGATAGTAGACACGGAATAAATGGAAGAAAAGGAAGGGGGGGGGGGGGGGGGGAGACCTCTAAGACATGCAAAAGAGATCTTCCGAACCAGCAGATGATCAAAGGTGCAGTAAAGGATGAGCAATCCACTGCGAAGGAAGACGGAGGGAGTATTACAAACAAAGGGTAGGGGAAAATGTTGTAGAGAAAACAGGGATGTGAGGAATGGGCATTCTTAGTTGATTTCAGCCTTTTGGGATGTGAGAACTTAATGCTCCAAAGAACTGTAAATCTTAAAACTGAAGTTGCATTAAGATCATGCATATATAACCCAAAGTTCATTAATAACAACAAAAATGGCCTTCGTGTATGGAAAACAACGACGTCTTTCAAGATGTGGGCAAGATAGAGATTCCAACATATACAACTGAATGTGCGACTCGTTCTAAGCTAGCCAATAACACTCAAATCTAGATGGGAACAGCCTGTAACATGTCAAGAATACATCCCTCAAGCATTCATAGTGCAGTTAACATCTTCCCTTCAGCACTTCTCAGGGACTTATGCCGTGTAAATCCTGAGCTACGTTTCAAGGCTTGGTCAAACACGACACAGGAATATCTAATTTAGGGCAGTCCCTGATAATGGGTTTCTGCATGGTTCGCAATTGGTGCCAATGCTGACCATCTTAGGTAAACCCCACAGCTGAACTGTATGTAAGCTTGGGAATATTCAATTATCAGATGTGATGCCCACAAACAAAGTTTCCGAGTTGTCACAGAATCTGACCCTAAGGACCTCCAGCTTCTCTAGCACAAGGCAAGGAACAATATCCAACTTCTAAAGATCTCAACAACGGTGATTCAATCTCAATTGTTGTCAACTTTGGTAATCCAAAAGTTGAACTTCACCTAAAAGAGGCAATTTTCAGTTGTTTGATGTGAATCCTTCGAGCAAATTGCCCATCTCGCGACAATTTCAGTCTTTAAAGACCTCAAGATATATTTCCTGAAGAAAGGATGTGCTCAATCACGGGACACACACATGTTGGATCCTTAATCTAACATTGGACTTATATGTGAATAATTATGTAATGCAAACTATCAAATAAAGTTAAATCCAATTAAAATGATCAAATATAGTTTGGACTTAATGTATTTAATAGGATGTGGGTCTTTAATGTGTAAAGATTTAAGGGTATTTTCTATTTCTATGATGGGTTGAAATAAGAATCCAAAAGGTAACACGAATGTTATTTATCAATAGGGTTATGACCCCAAGATCACAAAGTATTCTTATTGTCGTATTTTCTAGTATTACAAAATAGTTCTTTCTTGACATCCTATCGCCAGAAAAGATACAAAAAAAAAAAAAACTAAAGGACTCTCTCAAGTATTAGTATATACTTGTTGATCTGGAAGGCCATCCCAAAAATTTCTAGGGATTTAAATATCAATTTATCAGCATGAATCAAGGAATACTTTCGCAATTTTTCTGTTAATTTATTTTTTTAATAATTGTCAGATAGATTTTAGATTTAATAGGTGTTGGTTTTCATCAAAGGTAAAGGTTAAATATAAACAACCATCCTAACAAGTGGTATCAAAGTTAGATATGATTGATTATTAGAAAATAATTTAGATTTAGTAATTCATAATTTTTTAATTTTTTTAAAGAAAAATAAAACTGCAATTACTATTGGCTCTATTTTCATGGCTGCTGGTAGCGGACTCATGATTCTATTAAATACTAGGTATTCTGCCCTGACACTATGCGTCAGGTAGGTAAGAAGGAATTGCTGACCGACAATGAGAGAAAATTGCTGACCGCCAAGATGTTCCCATCCAAGAAGGCCACGCGGACATCCATATGTGTTGTCCACAAAAGAGAACAATAAGTCAACAAAAATTAGGGTCAAAAAATAACAAAATTACAAAGCAACCAAGCAAATATAACATACATGTTGAATGAAGGGAAAAATAAATGGCATGATCGAAAAATAGGGCAAACACCTAAGGGGAAACTAATACTCATAAATAGCTAAGATGGCCCATCTCTCCGGATCACAAGGGGCAACAATGACTCAAACAAAAGAGAAACAAAAAACAAATAAATTACAAAGCAACCACAATACCATAGCATGCATCTTCTGGTGTCACTAAAACATGAAGCACCACTAAGGCTAATGCTAATCACATGAATAGGCCCACGCGGACAGGGGATAGTTGGAATTCAAAATCAAGAGATAGTTGGAAACTTTAAATGGTGAATTCCAAATCAACTTATGTTTAAGGATAGGTTAGAATAAAGTGCTAAGAAATAACTAGCGGAACTATTTTACAAATGGGATAATAAACTTGTGTTTAAGGCTAAAAAATATGTATTTATTGAATCATTTTTTCATGCTCAAAAAAAAAAAAAGTTGGGCCTACTGTAAAAGTTCAAAAACTATAATCCATTTCTTAAATTGCATTTTTTTAATGAAGAAAGTTTATCCTTTTGCCAAAAAAAAAATGTTTACATGGAGATCCTTTTTTATATATTTTTTTGCAAAACAGAAGGAGCCTCTAACCATTTATATATCTAGTTTAGAAAAGAGTTTTCAAATAGTGACAATTTTGAAAGATGGATAATTTCCCCAATTCATGTATTTATTGGATGCGATTTTGTAAGAAATAAATATCTAAATGAATTAAAGAAAGCATTCTGTAAATTCGTCTTTTATAGAAATGCATTCGCTAAATGAGGTTTTCATCCTCTTGGAAGAGTTTGAAAAACATCGCACTTTTAGAACAAAGTAAAAAACTTCCGAGAAACTTTTGTCCCTTTTTTCGACATTCACGCTGTTGTTAATACCACCTAGGGTTTAACAGATTGTGCATGCTGTTTCATTCTATATAACAGAATTTTAAAGTTAACATCTTTTTTTTTTCCCTCTATAAGATTACATTTGCCCCGATCAGGTTGCATATAACCCGGAATTCTACACAAGTGATCCACTAGAATCACCTCCTAGTGTTAGGAGTGCAGTTTTGGATAAGGTCACTATGTCGTCCTTTTATGCTACTATTATATTATGTAAGGCTGATGGGAGTCAAGTAGTTCACGCTCATGATTTAGCAGTTGCTGCCAGTAAATGTGTCATGTTGGCTATGTATATTTTAAATAAAAGATTTTCCCAAAAAAAAAAAAATTGAAATTCTGAAAACTTGGAAAAATGTGTCATGTTGGCTATGTTCAACATTTAGAATTTATTTGTTGCTTTATGGCTTTACGTAACAGTGTTTTGATGCATTCCTAAGCTGGTCATGATGTAGTGCTGTCTAGGAGAATTCTTGTGGAAGAGATCTTCTATTCCACCTGAAGGTGCACCATACATTCTCTGTTCCACCATGTATTATTATATAGCTACATTTTAACCCTTTCCTTTCCCCCTTATGTTCCAACAACTTCGGACAAGGTGAAAAAACAAAACGCACCAATTTTAAAAAAAATAATATATTACATAAAAGAAAAAAATAGCAACAAATTCAGAAAATCACCATTGTGTAGTTTGATTTTGTTTTTTCAGTCTGTTATAATTTATGTTGGACCCTGTTAGTAGCTGTTGGAACTTAAAAGGAAAGAAGAAGAATTAAAATGTTTTATTCAATGAAATGATCAGAAAAATTAAGTCTTGGAGTGGCTTTTTTTCTTTTAACAAGAGAGGGATAGGATACAAAAAGTGAGGAAGGGAATGAAGCATTTGAACCACGATTTCTAAATTTTGAAATCTCAACCTTAACTATTAGATGAAGATCTCCTCAACGTGAGGTGGCTTGCATAATTTAGGCAACCTATTCATGTTTCTGCTCTGGTAATACGACATTTTGCTGGAAAACCTGAATCTTTTCTAAGAATAACAAGACTACGTTTTATTTATTTATTTAGTTTATGAATCATTGGCTTCATTCAGTTATTTAAATTCTTTGGCAGTGACATCTTCTGTAATGCGCTTTGATTATAAATCGAAAGAATTTATAAACTGGTGCATAAGTGTTAGAGTTTAAATCCCAATAAATAGTGTAATATTGTTAAAGGGAAAAAAAAACGATCGTTGAAACTTTATGGAAGTTAGCCTCTCAAACTAGAAAAATCACATCAACGATTGCAGCACCAACGAGATAAGAACTTCCGGGTTGTCATTACTCTACCCCCTGACTTTTAGCTCCTTTATCATTTTAGAAAGCCGCGTTGCTGGATGGTAATTTCATCACATTTTGATCTTGTTCTCCTCCAGTAATCCACAAGACAAGAAATTCAGATGATGGATGCCAAAAATATTTCATCATGATTATGGTATAAGGGCAAAAAACTAATTTTTTGGAGGAAAAAAAAAAAAGCAATGAATCAACCATTACGCTAGCAATAGCAAGCAAAACAAAGAAAAGCTCTTACGAGATAGGATATTTAATATCTTCACTTAGCTGCTCTTCATCCTTTTGAGAGACCACAATGCATGTAACATGGAGGAAGTATCTGCAAGGACCACAATAATAGACCCAACGACTCAGATGTACCTTTTCATGACAAACAGAGCATTCTTGTGGAAATTTGCGGTGGTCAGATCAGATGTAAGAAAATAAGATTTGTAGCAGTGAGAGATTATGATCCTTGTGCTTCACAGTTGTTGACTGCAAGGCACATTTTTTTTGGATCCAAAATGGACAAATAAGATGAATCGTCATCAACCTTACGGCAAGCATTACAGTAGAAAGTAGCTGGTCCCTGCTGTCGAAGAGGGTGCTCATGACAATCGAGATCAAATTCACACAAGGAACAGTGGTAGTTGGAAAACTTCCAATCATCTTGGCCACACGCACTACAGATACGACTACGAGAAGAATAAGTTGGATTCCTGAGGAGGACCAAGTGATGCTGGGAGTGCATCGGGTGTGTAATTTGTTGAGGAAGCTCCGCACATTTTTTGTGGAGAAAGAAATCACAAGCAAAGCAACAGTATGCTGCAGGATCTAAGGTTTGCTCCTGACACCCATAACAGACTACTAACTTTTGATCAATACTACCGTTGTCCTTTTTCTTCTGCAGCTCACTCAGGATGAGAGGGTGTTCCTCATGACTTAAATGGTTAAGTTGTTTTTCTTCCATTTCTCGTACAACTGTTAGGATCTTAAGTCTGGTATGGTTTTCGAAAGACTTTGAAATTAGAGGGCAAAATAAGAAACAGAAAAAAAAAATGATTCGTTGTGAATATTTCCTTCCATATTTCCTGTATTTATCCTTTTGGGCCTGCAAACTGCTTCAAAATATTACTTTGTCCTTTGAAAATTTATTTATTTATTTTGAAGTTGTCAATTACACCTAAACTTGTTATTCTTTACTTAAACGTAGTAAAATGACAACTTTGGAATAATCAACTTTTGTTAGATGCTACTTTCTATAACCAGAATACACAAGGAACATACAATTCCGTACATTCTTTTAGTTTCTTTTGGTTAATTTACATTGCCTTTGTTTATTCTTGTCTCTGTGATGCTCTAGCCAAACTCCTTTTGTTTATTTAAATTTGTTTATTCTCTATTTACTTTAGTTTCCACATGCAACTTGCGAGAAAAAAGAATATGATTGGAGAAAATTTAATTAGACAAGAAAAAAGAGAGATGTTATGAATAATTGGACTTGCAAGAGTTATTAGAAATAGAAAAGAATCTAAAAGATACCAAGAAGAAGTGGTGAAACAAAATTGTTTAATAACCTCTTGAATGAAATAAAGGTGAAAAAATGCATAGTAATATCTAATGATTAAGGACAAATTTGGAACAGCATAGTAATATCTAATAATTAAGGACAAATTTGGAATACTAGGATAGTGAGAATCGTTAACTCTTCCATCTCAAGGTCTAGGATGCCCATCAACACCGGAAGAATTTAACTTTTGCCAATAAAAAAGACAAGGTTCAAATTATGCACTTTTTCTTACTCGATTATATTTCTTATGTATCTGAAAGTCTATGATGTTAAAAAAAGCATTTGTAATGGGAAAACACATATATTACAATTAATTACTTTTGTACCATTTTAGTCTCTCAATTTTATGATCATGCATTTTGGTTCCTCATGTTTAACATTTTTTCTTTTAATTTTGAAGTTTCTTACTTTTAAGATAATAATTTTGATCTTCCACATATCAAAAATAAACAAATTTTTTTCTGAAACTTATTTGCAATCACATTTTCACCTAAAATCACTAAAAGAAACGAGTCGATATATATGTTGTGACTACATGCATCAAATAATAGAATAGTCAAAATTTACTATTAATGCAATTTAAAGATAAAATTACAACTAGAAACTACCTCAATTCAGACAAAATTATTCAAATTCCAATAATATAAAATAATTTATGATGCTCCTAAATTTCATCCAAAATATATTAACAGTGCAGAAAATAACTTTTTATTATGTTAATTGCTGTGAAAATAATTTCATTCTATTGAAATCATCTCAAGTAAAATTTTAAACATAAAATTGATCATTTTACATTTACCTTGTCAAAATATCTTGTAAAAAGATACCAATCGAGTGGGAAAATTTCCCACCTTTCAGAATTATATCAAGAATTTGGAAAGTTAACTTAAGTGCCTCAAGTACTATATTTGGAGCTTTGATCTAAATTATGTCAGAATCACAATTTCAGTTTGTCACAAAAAATGAGTTTTGCGGACAAAATGGTGTATTTTACACATGCGATGGACCAATCTCACTATTTTAAAAGCAAGGAATTTAAAAAGGTCAAAAATCTGAAACGAGGGGACTAACGAACAAAGTTCAAGTTTGCCAAAAGTGTCAATTTCACCTATTGACTTTCAAATGTTTTTTCTTATTGGTCAGTCCTTTCATTCATCATATGTAATTTAATGTCACCTGTATAACATCACCCATGGATCCGTGAGTATATTTATGTATTTGAATTTCAGTGGATGAAATGACATAAAAAAAAATACACAAAATTCAGTAGCTGCAATAAAACTTTGAAATGATTTGGTGACAGGAGTTTTTTTTTTTTTTTTTTTTTTGGGAAAAATGTGCCGGCATTGGGCAAGGAGGGATTATGCTCCAAGATGGTGATGCCAATCTAGCGCAATTCTAATTGCTTCTGTCAAAGCTGACAATATGACCAAACCGTGCAAAATTTGAAATTTAATGGATAAATTGACAGGTAAACATATTCATTGGGCAAAACAAAATTCTGAAATAACTTGGTGACTACAAATACGACGGAATCGGTTCATTAGCCTTCACTTGTTCCAAATTCACATTAAAAGGTAGCTTGTTATTCTTTACCTAAGGGTAGCAAAATAACAACCCTGAAATAATCAATTTATGTTCGTTGGTACTTTAATTGATTCGATTATACAAGTAAGGTATGATTCCATGTGTTCTTTTTGTCTCTTTTGGCCATTCTACATTGCCTTTATTTATTCTTTTCTCTACGGTATTCTAACATTCTAGCTAAACTTCCTTTACTTGTTTAAATTTGTATATTCTCTTTTTTACTTTAGGTTCTGCATGTAACTTGTTGGGAAAAGAATATGATGGAAAAGTTCTTATTGGACGAGAAAAAAGTGAGAATTTTTTAAAATAATGAGGCTTGCAAGAGTTTTTTTTTTTTTTTTTTGAAAAAGACCTGCAGGAGTTAAAGTGCAAATTGTACAGAATCTATAAGGTACTAAGAAGAAATGGTGAAACATGATTTTTTACTGCTTGAAAAAAATAAAGCAAAATGAATGTGGAGTGATCTCTAATAAAGGCAAATTTGGAGCAGTAGTGTAGTGAAAATTGTGAACTCTTCGGCCTCAGGAACTAGGGCTCTTTTTAGTTGAGGAATTAAAAATTAGATCAATAACAAGGTTCATATTATGCATTTTATTTCTAACTTGATTTTATTTCTTGGGTCTTTGAAAGTTTGTGATGTTAAAAGAAATAATGCATTTGAAAATGGAAAATCGTGCGAGTTACATTTAATTACTTTTGTTTAGTTCCCTGTCGCGCCCCATTTTTTGTGATGAAAAAGAAAGGAAAGTGTGAAATTTATAAAAGATGTGATTTTATTTTAAAACAAGTTAAAAGGGACCTAAAATGGGACTTTAAAAAGGCGACAATTTGGGTCCAAAATTTAGTCTAAAAGGGTTTGTAAGAAAAAATAGGAGTCGCCACTTGGTATGGAGTTTTGGTGTACCAAATCACCCAAAAAATGAAGTAAAATAAAATAAAACCCTTTTTGACAACTCCAGGTCTTTGAAAACAAGAGAAAATAGATTCAGGAGTCACGGTTGAAGAAAGGGAAGGCAAATGTTCGATTAACTCAAATCTAAGGCACCCTTTCAACCTAGTCTAAACTAGTTGCGAGATTTAGTCAATTTTCCTAATTTAACCCTTAATTTTATTACGTTTGGATGTTTCCTACATGGATGCAAATCTAAACTTAAAAAATATCGAAAGGGACACAATGTTCATTCAATGGTTTAATTGAACCAATCGCATTAATTGCGAAGGCCAAAATGATTCCTTGAAAGTGTCTTAAGTATGCGAATGATGAAATTAAAATAAAAAAAGACATTAAATTATACACATATATAAGTGATCAAAGAAAAAGAGAATGCAACATAAAAGGTACGGGAGGCAAAAACTCGTGACATAATTTTCTTATACATGGATTAATAGGGTATTTAAACTAAAAAGTTATAATCACCTATTTCCTATGTTTGAAAAATAATTATCCTAACATGAACAAGCAAATGAACTAACTTAAATGAGATGCAATTCTAAATTATATGATTAGTACCTATAGAGGGTAAGGGATAATATAATAGGGAATATCATGCAAATGAGAAAAGATCCTAAAAATGAAAATATGCATGAAGATGTAATAAATATCACACAAAGATGAATCTAACGCAAGACGGCCTCAAGGGTCTAGCGTTGGACTAGCTCATTTCTAAAAATCCTTACTAGCGTTGGACTAGCAAGTAAGCGGAGGGAGAAGCCACAACTAGCGTTGGGCTAGTGTGGTGACGTCATGCATTAACAATACATAGCAAAACAAATAAAGCATAAATTAAAACAAATAAACACATAAGAGCACGTAGCACGTAACACGTAAGCATAATATCTAGATGCAAAAATCCTAAGGAAAGCAGGTAAAACATATAACACATAAACCACATAAACACGCAACCTATCTATTATATCGGGGAGCGCCTAACTACAATCTAGAAGGGAAAAATATAATAAAACAAATCTAATTATCCTATCTATTACATTTTTTGAGGTATTTAAATGCCTCTCGAATCATTATAAAAATTAACTAAAACATATATAAGAAAATTTGAATGAATATTTAAATCAAATAAATAAAGCATATAAAAATATATAAATACATAGGAACACATAGGAGCACATAAGAGCACGTAATTGACATTGAAATAATAAAAATAGGAGTACCTCCCGTTTGAAGTGGTGACTAAATGGAGTCAAATTGTCCTATTTATACTCACAATGAACAAAAGGATCATGACACCAATTTAATTGAAAAAGAAAATAATAATACAAGTACTAAATTCACACTAATATGTCAGACGTAAAGAAATTTAAGCAAATCTAAAAATTCCAAGTTAAGTATATTCAAAAGTAGCATAATTAGCTATTAAATAAAAGAAACAATCATAATAAAGAGAGTCAAAATTCATTAGGGACTGAATTGCAAAAATTGAATTGGGGACAAAAATTATATTTTTCCCAAAAGTTGAACTTCACCTAAAAGAGGCAATTTTCAGTTGTTTGATGTGAATCCTTCGAGCAAATTGCCCATCTCGCGACAATTTCAGTCTTTAAAGACCTCAAGATATATTTCCTGAAGAAAGGATGTGCTCAATCACGGGACACACACATGTTGGATCCTTAATCTAACATTGGACTTATATGTGAATAATTATGTAATGCAAACTATCAAATAAAGTTAAATCCAATTAAAATGATCAAATATAGTTTGGACTTAATGTATTTAATAGGATGTGGGTCTTTAATGTGTAAAGATTTAAGGGTATTTTCTATTTCTATGATGGGTTGAAATAAGAATCCAAAAGGTAACACGAA